GCCCCCGGCAGCTCCGGGGAAAGGCGGCCGTAGCTGAAGCCAGAACTATTTAGGGAGCAAATACAGTCTCCACTGGGCCAAGTTCTGCACTGCTGGAAGATAAGGTCTGAGTCTTACCAAAAAACTATTTTCATTCACTATCATTCCTTTTGCTTTTTGGTGTACTTGTGTAAGCCAAATCTTGAAATGGATATAATAATTAACTCTGTATCAAAACACCACATTAACTGATGCAATCCAACATCCTGAAAATGAAATTACAGGGAGCCACCTGCAAACAGTCTTCTCTGTAATTGAATTCATCCTCCAGGCACAATCTTTTATCTAGGGCATCTGAGAGGTGCATCTTTGACTCATGGAAAAACCTGCGGTGTGGCACTGCACTGTGCTGCCTTTGTCTGCAAGAGCGGAGCGAAACGCTTGGGACTCCCACCTTTCTTTCCTAATACAAACTGTCTCCCTTTGAAAACCTCTTCCTGCCTGCTGGAGCCAGCATTCTTCATCACGTATGCACTAGCTTCTCAGACAGCATGCAGAAGTGCCTCTTTTGCACTGAGGGTAACACGATCAAAAACCGCTCACTAGTGTAAGTGATTGACCATTATGCGCCAAATTTAAACAGACTAATTTCTGTGTCCGCTATGACAGTGATCTATCAGAAATACTGGGTTTATCAACATGATCATGTTAGTACATCTATGTAATTACTGGTTGCTTAGTGCTACTGAAGACCAGTATTGGTCATGTTGACCATCGGGCCTCTACTGGCAAGGGCTACTCACCATCAGCAAGAAATCTGATGCACCCTAGCAGCAAGTGGCTTCAGACACTTCTGCGCTCCTAGGAAGTCCCAAGTGAAAGCAACACGAGCATATGTAAGTAATGATGCAAAACCACGTAACGCTCATTAGAAATCCACTCAAAAGCAAGAAAGGAGCAATCATTTCTACAGAGATTCTCAAGTTCCATAAATTTCCATTGTTGAGTAGAAAAATAACAACTGAAAATACTTTAAGTAATAATTACTGAAAATACTGAAAAGAATTAGTTTATAAAGCTCCCGTATGACTTAAGGAAAGTGGCAAAGATGCAGAAACTTCTACTCCATTACACTGTGTATAAAATAACATCCCTATAAAAATGGGAATGTATGCGAAGGGTAAGAGAGAGGCTAAAATCCAAAAAACATTTGAGAATGTGGACTCCAGCACATTCGAAGAGTTTCCATTAAAAGACGCTCTCTTATACTGCCCAGTCATGGGCAGAACTCCCCTATATCAAAGATGCTGTACCTACATGTCATACAACACGCACACAAGAAAGTTTAGTTCAATTTTATTTTCCACTGTAACAGTTTTCAAATGATACATCATGCAGTCTGCCAGTGTATCCATCCGTGTCCGATAGAATTTTGGAACAAAGATAAAAGACTTATCTCCAAGGGACGGGGGAAGAAGGGTTCAGAACTGCTAGTAAGAGTTTAATACATTTCAGCATCATTTGATGCAATGGCAAAAAATTTCCCCTTGTTACCACCAAAATGTGTCCACAATTTATTTTTTCCTAAAATGAACACTACTGTAAAGATACATAGAGCCCAGAGAATACACATCTGCAGTACACGTTACACACTTTACAAACTAGACATGTATAATTCTACAGAATGCTTCAACCCCCATATTTCTCCCACAATGAAACGTGTTTCAGTGACAAGATTGTGAGAGCAAGACACAAATTTGTGGAGTGGTGTTCCATCCTGTACAGCAGATGTTGTCCAAGGCATTTTGCAATTCACACAGTCACATTAGAGGTGAACATCAAAGCAAGGGTAGATTAAGATTATCCTGTTAGAAGTTTTAGGAAATGAAAAAAATAAACTAATTGATACCTACTTTGTTTTCACAAGGTTTTCTCCTCTAAACCTCATGGTCTCCTCCAGTAATGGAAATCTGATTAGGCCTATCCCTTTGGGACCTGCACACCCATTTGGTTTAACTACTGACTTACTCAAATTAAACAATTTTAAGCTAAAAATAACTTCCAACCAATATTTCCAAGCCTTATTTATCCTTTTTTTCAGGCAAATGTGAATCTTAATTTATTACGCTTTATAAAATGAAGTTTAAAAGTTACTTAAAAGGTTCTGTAAGCAGAAATTATTGTAGTACAGTTTGTGATTTATTTTGATTTTAAATATGTTCAGGATAATCCACTCTCACCCTTGCAGAGTAAAGTACAAACTTAAAAATATGTCAGCCAAGACCTTTCAAGGTTTAAAAAAACAAAACAAAAAACCTTGCTTTGAAGAAAAACAAGTCAATGAAATAGGAATTCAAGGACAAACACAAGATATTTGAACTAATTCAATAAAAGAAGCTCAAGTGAGCAGGAAATAGTTGTTAATTACTAGCAAAAACAACAATAGGCATTTTATTTCTATCTTAAGTAAGTTTTCCATTTGTGAACAGTGTTTCCAACCAATTTTTTCCCATGCATGACATTAAATGTGTGATTTAATTTACACTGTATAAATCACAACTTTAAAATTAAGTCTAGAATAAATATAAGACAACATTCAAAGAGCAAAGAAAGAAAAAGTAAGATAGCATCAAGTAGTGGAAAATAGCAAAAGACAGGTTTTTTTAACTCTGCAGAGCAGATGTGTGGTTTTCATTTCTGCATATAAAATGTGTAAGACTTAAAAATGGTAGAAAAGTTGAATATACATTATGCAATACAGACTTAAATTGCCTAGTTAAAATAGGCTTATAAAATAAGAATCTATAAGGAGAGTAAGTGTAATTGACAGTTAATTATTTCCAATTCAGTAAATATCTTCTGTGTTCCTTTGAGGACTTCAGCATAATAGATCTTTTCAACATTTCAGTCATAGAAAGTTCTCTTACAGTCTTGAGGTAAAAGTTAGCTTGGAGAAACATTATTTTGGCTAGTTGAACTGACTGGCTGATCAGCACTAGCACAACTAAGATGTCAAAGCTAACTTTCTACTCAAGCTCAAGATAACTGTCTAAACTGTCAGACGTTAATGACGATGATATGGGGAACTCATGAAATTTTTTAAGCTAATGCTGCATTTAAAACACAATTCTATAATAAACTTTGAATTCAGCTTACCAAACAAAAGTTTATAGTCTTGTTCTATTTTCATTGTACAAGGAAACAATACAAAATCTTTGACAGTAACAGTTTGGTGTTCTTCAAGATAACTGTTTTAGAACCAAAACAAGAGGCTAATTATTTAGTTCATAATAGAAATTTCAGCCATGAACAGCTGATTAGATAGTACAGAGTAGTTTTAAATTAGCAATTTTACTGAAGATTGCATATGGCAAGTTCACAGTTCATTTTTCTGGCAGTGCACATGCACATAAAGAAAAATATAAAATTTCAGAAGATACAAAATAAATTAAATACATGCAACTTTGCAACTTCATTAAATATGTTTAGCAAAATGCTCCCCAAAATAGTGCAACATTAAAAAAAAAAAGTTAAATTAATTCTAACTTACTTGGCAACAACTGAGAGCTCCTAAATAATTTCAGTAGAAAAAAAATCTAAAGTCAATTCACAATCTTTCAATTAAAAGATTTCAATTAAATTAAAAGATTAAATACTTTTATGTCTACTAAGAGAGAGACATGTTCAGAAATAAAACAATTAATCTCAAATTAAATAAGAGCAAACAGCTGCCGAACAAGACTAGAGGGATATACTCGGCTGAAACCTTCCTGAAATCCACACTTCTTTAAGACACAGATTGCATAATATGCACATTTGAAAATGAGGATATGCATGTGTGACACAAAAGCAGTAGGCACACGTTAGGGCAGTAACTTCAGCCAGCAAACACTAAGTTTTCTCAGAATGAT